TTTTTTTCGTTCATTTAGCCATTTTTTGTCATGTTTACCGATACGTCGATGGAAATGAATGAATTAAAAGCGTACTATTTACAAAATAATTCACGTTCCTTATCGGTTACCGATTTATTTCTCTCAACGTAAATATTTCCATAATTTTTGAATTACGAGTTGAGAATGAAACATGACAACTATGATTAGACCTTGAGCTAACTGAATTTATCTCCGGTACAAAGAGGGCGCTATCTTGATGTTCTTTGCTATTCCAAGTACTCTTACCTCGCCAATTTCAACGAAGTCGCTCTTCAGAAACGTTTCTTGAAAAGAACTAGAATCTGGCTTTTGAATTCATTGAATCGTGTAGCTTTTATAATTCAAGGCTAAAACGCTTATTCGCACAAAATCCTTATTTATATCTAGAAAGATTAAATCTTCTCTGGTAAATTGGAGAAGTAATTACAGCGACAGTAATTCCAAAGAAAACGGTTTACACAGTCCGACAGTACAGTACAAATGTTATTGTTAATATTGCAAATTTTATACCTATGGAATTCTCTGCTGAAAATTGTCTCCCATAGCAGTACGATTTTGAAGATTTCATCCATCATGTGCTTTTGGTCCTTAGAGGTACTTCGAGCTTTAATCAAATCAAGCACTGCAAACACAAAATCTATAACTCATATGTCTCAATTAGCCGGCACAGTCAAGCCCTTTGTGCTCGCATGCTTCGCCACAGTCATCGAACCATTTGCTTTGCAAAAGCCGCCCGAAATAGGGATCTCGATCGCCATCTCCTCGGTTATTAGACCTATATAACTGAAATTACAAACCGTGTCCGGGTCCGCAATTCGCGATGCGTGCAACTGCAACAGTAATGAGACCGAATAGCTATGAAACCCTGATAATCAGTCCTTGCCATATTGCGGATGATACGTTTAATCTACCATGCTACTATTAATTATTCGGTATTGTTTTCCGACAGGAATTCCGAAATTCCATTTCATCGAAATTTGAAAAACACTATCCTACGGAAATATTTTCAAGGACATATACTTTCAGAAAATAAAATTAGAAAAAAATTGATTTTTTGAAGGTTCTAAACTAGAATACACCCTTATGGAATGTGGTTTTAAGATGATTTGGATTTTTAATAAACCTTTCTGTTTAATCATATATATTTATGTAGAAAAGAAAAAGGATTTAAAGAGAAAGAGAGAGATAACGAGAGAGAGAGAGAGAGAGATGTCAAAATTGACGTAGTTATATGACAGCTGAATAAATATTACGAATTTAATACATCACAGACCACTAAGTACATTTCAAATTTCGCGCGCTTTACTTGCTAGGTACTTTTCAAGCTTTATTATTTTTTAATATATTTTATTGCGTTTCGCGAAGATTGTCTTTCAAATTATTTGCACTGTATAAAACGTTGATTTTGAAAGAATAATCTGAAAAAGAAAAATAATTAAATAATTTTTTATTACCGATCGAAGGTTTTAATTTAGGACCAATATTTCTAGGAACTTTTAATGTGTTCTAATTGCACAAATGAATCTTCCCAAAGTGTAGTATAGTAAATAAAAGGAGCGACGAGTGTAAATTGCGGGCAGGAAATTCCTAGGGTGAAAGTCTCGCGGTTGCATCGCTTTTTCCAAGAAATAAAGATTGGCTGCTGCGGACGCAGCGTGCCATTTCGATCGTAAATATCGAAAGCGTCATTGTACGTGGCTATGCCGGCTCTTGTTTGCAGTCAACGTTCCGAACAAAGCACTAGAGAAAACACAAATTAATATACCATTGTATTTTATTCGTTTATTTATTTATGCATTTTTGCATTGGATATTGTGTGGTTTATTGGAAATCAGCATGCAAATCAATTTATCGGACTACTGTTACTCAAAAATTATTTATTATACTTATTTACCTCAGTATGAAATATATATATCGATATTGATATATAAAATTATGAGATTTGAAAAAGTATTTGTTGGAATTCATAAATCATGGTTGTACATATAGAATTTTCTATTTGTTTTTAATTGTGCATTCTGGATCCTTTCACGAGTAAGCGTTTTAGAAGTCTTAAGATGATTTTCTACTCACTAGCGCCACTGCGGGACGTATCTGCAATAAATGTTAATCGTAAATATATATCGTTGAATTATTTTCTAATTTTACTTACAATCTTGGAATATTCTGCTTACTATTTTTAAATTTTTTCTCGTGAACAGGTGAATGAATATTTGATATACTATAGTTCTTTAATTTTCAGTAAACCGAAGTTCAATTTTCATAAATATAACCTTACTTTTTGAATTTTTCCAAATTTTCAATCTCTGTCAGCGCTCAACTTTCTACATTTAAAATAAATTTCCACTTTCCGTCTTCTGACGTCAATCAATTCGGTAAATGAACGACCCATGATCCATTCGACCTTTCGTTAAATTGGAAAACATTTGTTTTCCTTTTTACGAAATATTTTTTATGTAAATATTGCCAATAGCTCTTTCCTTAGAATTCTTCCAACTACGGTAAACATGCAAGATAAACATTGAAAATTTGCGGTAGAGCTTCGCGATAAATAAAACATCCCGCGATAAATATTCAGAAGAAGAGGCCGCCATTTTATCACGAGCAATATTTTATTCGTAGCGTCCGGTTCCGGCTCGGTGATAGGGAGGGACCCACTTCCGCCGAGAGCTGTCAGCACCTCGCAACTGGCTCAAAGAACGCAAACACAACCAGCGGCCACCGTGTCCACCCTTCCACTGCCGAGAAGTAACGCCACGCACAGGCAACCCCTACCACTTCACCAGTCCACCCCTCAGTCGGTAAGGCAGTCGGAGAACGACATGACTAATTCGCAACTACTGCGGGCCGCCAGCAGTGGTGACATTGGAACTGGATCTGCCATGTGAGTACGATATTATACCAGAGTAATACATCCTTTATACAACCTTTGAGGTATAATATGTCATGTGGAATGTTTACTAGTTATTAGGTTGAGGAGAATGCATTGGAGAACTTGATAGCATGAATATACATTATCGGTGAAAAGCAATTTTGATGGAAACCAGTTAATTCTGAACCTGCCACGGCCTGAACTGATTATAGTAAATGAAGAGATGGAGGATGGAGAATCTAAGGACAGATGGAATAAGAAGAGACGTTGAAAGATTGATTGTGCTTGTACTATGAGAAATGGAGAATTTTTTATGAAAAATCTGAAAATGATTGGTTTCACTGAAATAGATTTAATGTTAAAAAGGAGATAGATTTTTCTTTTTACTATTTTTGAAGGAAATGGCACTTTTGAGATGACAGTATATTCTATTTTTTATATTGAAGAATATACTTATCCATAAAAATTAGGAAAAATTATTAATATAAAATTAATTTTTTTTTCCAATGGCTGAAATATTTTTGGAACATTTCCAAGTACGTGTTCAAAAATTCTGGCGTGAAAAGTGCTTAAGATCGACGAGATCGAGCATTCCTGGTGGAAAGCACCAAGTTGGCATTGGAATTCCCTAGGTGACACATTTTTCTCGGCTGTTTCACGCCGTGGATACATAAGGAGTGCTAGCGTGCAACTAGCCTATGCTTTCGAACGACGTCAGCAGTTCTCTGGTCGCGTTCGTTCCTAATAAAACTATTCCGACCAGGGAACATTTTTCGACGGCATAGGAATTGAAAGGCGAACAAATTTTCGACGTCTTGTAACGCTTATAAGAAAAATGTGTGCTCTTGATTTTTAATAAAAACCCTCTCACGTGTTCCAAATTTCTTTCATCTTTCACGTAAATTCTATTTCTGACCATTGTCGAGGAAATTATTGAGTACCATTATCGATATCAAGAGTATAATTAAACTAATGTGGAAATATACACACATTTATTGTATAATTGTGAATGCTAGAAGATATGTATGGCATGAGACAACTTTATTTATTAATACAATATTAGTTACCTGTGCCATTATTAATATAATCAGGACTGTAATTTAGCTAATGAAAAATATACACATATGTATTGTAAAATTGTGGCTACTGAAAAATATGTTGCATTATGTTGGATAGTTTGTTTATTAGTACAGTATTAATTATATTTTAATGATAAATAACTGGTTTCCATTAAGTAATTTAGTTGGGAATACATTTGTTTGATCTCGTTCTTAATGTCTTATTATTCTTGCTATCTTTGTTCCATTATATTCCATTGCATTCATGATTAATTGTCATCCAGCTACAAGTACTTACGCTTCCCCTGATACAGAATATAATGTCCTGCATTAAAGTGAAATATGAAAGGAATATGATAAGTTGGATGGAAGTCTTCCATATAGGTTAGAGTATTTGGTTTCTTATAAATATTGTTGGAGATAAATGCTGGAAAACTGACAATGAATTGCAGTGTTGTAGAATGATAATGAATAAGATAAAATATTCAAATTACAGATTAAACAACAACGATGGAAAGGACATGAGGTTAACCTCTCCAAGCAGCCTTAACACTCAACGATTGATGAGTCCAGCTGGGGCTTTAAGGGTTGTCTCCTTGAACGACCATCGAGTTTCCAGCCCCAGTGATAGCGATATACGAGTTCATAGTCCGAGTAAGTAAATGCAAATAAATAATTAAAAGATATTATTCTTATATTGCAGGTAAATGCAATATAAGAATAATATCTTTTAATTCTGATTTAAACTACACAGAAGTTTCAAAGAATGAATATTTGACTATAACCTTCTCTAACCTTCGCATGAATGACAGTTTCTAACTGTTCTATATGTAACTGGCAATCGCTTATCCCCACTCGGAGACAGAGAAAGAGTGGGGATAGTGATGAGAGGTGAACCTCTATCGGTAAACATATCGTTTTATCCAAGCCAATTGGAATCTTTTTGCAAATATTCAAACATAATCCTGAGCAGAAAAATTTATTTTGCATAATTTTGATGTTGTGTTTGTAAAAATATATTTAACATATTCATGAAAGTTTTCTGAAAAAAGTAAAACCAAACACGACGTAGTTAAAATGATTTTATCAAATAAAAATTCCCATATTTTCACTTCTATTGAAATCTCCTATTTCTTTGATTTCTGACTTTCCCTAATCCTTTTCCCCAGTCACGTGTAACTTCTTAAATCTTGAAGTACATTTCGCCTAATCTTCTTAACCTCCAAAGTCTAATTTCTCTTTAAACTATTGCACACGCCTCCACGACTGTCTTAATACATTTCCCACCTCCTTTAAATGCAAATACCCATTGAATCTATTCTACAGTGTCCCAAACACTTGTCGCAACCGGTGGGACACTCGCGAAGTTCATTTGCCCCCTTGAGTAAATTTACTCGCTCCAACTTGCCCGTTCTAGTCGACGAATATCGTTCGAAATGAAATTATATTCGAAATCCTTTTGAAAGCACACGCAATCGTGTTGTTCGATTCAGAACGTGGGAAAAAAAGCCAATGGGGAACGATGTAGGAGAGAGAGAGAGTAGAGAAGGGGAGGGAAGTAATCCCACGGCTGAGTCGTTGGCTGGAAGAATTATTATCGGAAAGCGGGCAGAGAGTTTGCGAACTCGCCGAAAAGGACGCGCATTCGGGAATGAAAGTTTGCAGTGCTGTTGGGGTTAATTATTCAGATATCCGCAGGGAGGTAAGGTCCACATCGACGTACAAAGCGTCGCCGGGAATAATAGGAATCCTGAGTATATACATCCAGAACGACCACCAGAACATTAACTCCCTTCGATGCCTATTGGCTGCAAGACATTCGCTTGGAAAACTAGAGAAATATATCACGAGTCTACCGTTATATCGTGTATACTTGTCTTGCGAGAAACGAACTCGTATATCGCATAATTTTTGTTGGTTAGGTCAGCGTTGTTACTTGTGGCGGGAAATTTGAAAAGTCTAATTCACCGAAATCAGTCATTAGGGATTATTTAACTACATGGTTAGAAGAAATTAACGAGATTATAGAGAACCACAAAATAAAAGTTCTTTATCATTTTTTAATCTTTGAAATTGTGAAAAAATTTGTATAACCTCTTCGTAGTAACTAAACAAAAATTTTTTGTTTTGTAGGGATTTTATTTAGTTCTCAATATAGAAAGTAAAAGAGAATTATAAAAATGGAATGAAAAAGAAAATATGTTGTAAAACAACGATAATCAGTTTAATGAAAACAAGGGACACTTGTATTCGGAACCAGAAAGCGGTTGTAGTTTCGCGTGTATTTTGATGCACAGTCTGGTTGAAATGTACACATGCACAGGATGTCGGTTATGTTGTAATGCTTAGCGTAATATCACGGCTAACGTTCAAGCGAATACATTATCGAACAAACATTAGCGTGAATGGCCGATGCTCTGGTCGGAATAGCGGTTAAGCGATATCGAGCCAATATTTGCCTCATATCGAATTCTTGTCTGGGTCAGTGGTGCGAATATTAAGTGCCGTTTTCTGCATTTCTATCTGTCTGGCTTCGGAACCATGTAAAACCACGATTACTTCCTGCACCGTTAAAGGGAGAGTCGGAACCCGATCTCTTATCGTCGATATTTCCGCGATATATATGTACGTGCGAGGTATTTTCCGACGTAGGAAATTCGCAAACAAATGTACCCGGTGCTTCTAAATAAATATCACCGCTGTTCGATGGAAAAATGTTTGCAGAAGCAGATTGAAAATGGTAGAGGTTCAGTCATATCGAAGGATTTAGTCATAGAATTTTATTTTGTAAGATGAGAATAGAAAGAATTTTTTTCGAATAGATACACAAATCTTGTATAACAATCGACTATGTAATAAACAAAGATATAATATAATTGTCAGCGAAATATATAGTTTGAAAGACCCAGTGAAAAATTGATTACAGCATAATATAATACTAATATAATTTAGTATTATATTAATTTAACACGAAGTTATTCTAGCAGATTTGTGGTTTAGACACCAAGATAATATATAGTTCAGGTTAGGAACAGTATTTGTATGCGAGAGACTTTCGAGAAACATGTTTGATAGTGAGCACCTACTCTCCTCTGGTGGCGACCGTAGGAAGTTCGCGACAATTGATAATCCAGATAAAATAGAAATAACCTTCCAATCTAGGATATATACTTTAGAACGAATTCCGTTTCCTTAAGCTGAACTGAAATCCTCTTAAAGCAAAGAAATCTCCTTCGCTACAAAGCCGTCTAAACCTCGTAACCGTTTTCTCGTTTATCCGCAGTCGAAAGGAAAATGGTGAGCCCGATCGGCAGAGAGGTGGACCGTGGCGGGGGCACGACTGCTAGGCAGAATCAGCGCGTATGGGAGTGCAACGAGTTGCTGCACAAAAGGGTGAGTGAAAGACAGTTTGGCGTAAGCGAAACCTTCGAGTTGATTGGCATGGCGAAGCATGGAAAGAGAAAGGAATCTAACGTAACGAATCCGGCTTCAGCTGATTAGCCGCTTTTTTCTCACACTCTCCACTCCGCCGTCCCTCGAACCTGCTCTCTCTCTCATTCCTCTCTTCGTTCACTCCCTAATTGTATGTCCATTTCTTTATATTTCACGCGTACGTACACACCATCAGTGTCACGCGACAAGCAAGCAAGTAAGCAAGCACGCTCGCACGTACACGATTTGTTCGAGCTCTGTCTCGCGAGTGTGCAGTAGTCCGCATTATCATCCTAGCATGTAAATTCCATTAGTTCAATTAATTAAAACGTTGCTCCGAGCGAGGGCCGACGGTTTCGAAGCGCCTATACCATACCTGGTGGAATTAATTGCGAACGCGTTCATGATCCTCGTGAGCTAATGACGAGAACGCTGAAGACGTTCTCTCGTTGTCCAATTTCGGGCTGGTCTAGCGAAAAAGCCGACCGAAAACGTGTTTGCTCGGTAGTTCCAACAGTTTTGATTAGATGACAGTTGCGAAGCGATGGCGCTTGAAAGTTTCGGAAAGTTATATACATGGTTGACTATTGCGTGATAGAACGACTGAACCGAGCGTATAGAATTTCACTTCATTTACCGTTCGTTGTTTCTGACAGATGTATTCTAGTGTATCGGTTTTAGATCGCTCAGAGTCCACTTAGATAGACTGTTTGCTAAGAGAGAAAACGTAGAGCTGTGGTTTACAACAAAACGTTATCGAACATTCAAGTTTCGCTTTACACGCGGTTGTGGTTTGTCACTTTATCGCCTTTGGTCAGTCCGCAGACGTTCAGACACGTGGGTCGATGGTAGTTAGAGCATTAGACTTTGTAGCTGGTTACAATCCGTGTTTGTTTCTCGCACGATCGAGTAGAGATGCTATCACATAGAGGTTAGGAATCGTTCACTTCGATCACATGTCGCACGATAGTAGTTGTCACTTTACTAAATTTACCAGGTTGTTTTCATTCTGAATTTATATCCAATTATGTAATTCTACTTCAATTTGGAGCTTTTAAGTCTCATAGAGAATCTGCAAAAAAATAAATTGTTGAGTAGAGAAAGAAATAAATTGTCACGATTAACTATCACCAATTAGTATGTCATTCGAAATTTTATAAACCCAAAGAAAAATCGTCAAACCCTTCTAAAATATTGATTCTATGTAAACGATTAAAACAGTGTGAAATATCCCTCTCCCTCACATCGAATCTAAACTTTCGAATCACTTTTGAAAGAACACATCCGGTGCTCTTGCAATCGACGACAGGTGAATCGTGGTAAATTATCGTCTGAGAACCGCAGCAACGCCATGTTGGAAAAGTTACCGCCGATACCTGTCGAAAAGGTGCTGCCCCTGAACGGCAATGGAGCAAAGTTTTCTTTCAAACCGGTGTCGGGAATTTGATCGGTGACTGAAAAACATCTAATCGAACAGATCTGGAGAGTTTGGAGTCCAGGCCGTTGGAGTAGGGTCGTTCGACACATAGAAAGCACTTGGAACGGAACAGTCCGGGGGGAGCGATATCCATTATGGAAAAGGACAACTGGCACGCCCGAAGGAACCGCTGAAAGCTATTGAAACTCGCGAATGTATACACGTACGTTTCCCTTTGCGCGAGGAATCCAGCTATTGGTTCTCCCGACGCACCCTCGGCCGATGTCCGACCGTGTGGCGGAGAGGACGATTCAACCGCGTCCGTTTGATGCCGAGTTTCCAGGCATTTTCATTAGCACGGCCTGCTTGTCCCAGAAATTCATTAGCATATGCGACCGAGAGCAACGGAGACATATCTTTTATCGCGTACGTGCCCGTCGACGGCAGCGGTGGCCAGAACCCCGATGGAGGGGCTCTCTGTTGGAAATTTCATCGGTTGCAATTAATACTATGCTCACCGGACGTAAATGTGTACCAAGCCGTCGTGTGAGCTTGTCGTTGTAAACTTTGCACTATGAGAGGTGTTCTTGGATAGATGAACGTAGCGCGGAGTCTGATATACTAGTGCGCGCGTCGATGGTAGAAGCATTTTTGCCGACGGTACACTTACGGTTACCCCCACCATTTCTTGAAACGGCCTCGCTCGAACGTATCTTATGTTTATGTTATGACATTGGTCGAATCGCGTGACAGGTTTCTCCGGGCAATGGCCGAATGTTTCTGTTTCACTCTGGTTCGTTGTTTCTCACTTTCACTCTCGCTGAAAACCCAGCGAACTGAAACAAAATATTATTAGCAATTCTGCGAACATCTATCCTCGTCAAACGCGACGCGACGGTTAACTGTTCCTATTCTGCCGGCACTGCTATACTTTGGTGCAGAAGAGAGGGGAGTTTTGTATAGTCAGAGAATCACGTAGGATTCAAGCAAAGGACTTTGACGGGAGCTGAAAAATGTTTTTAAATATTCTTAGAGAGCTTGTAAACGATTGATAAAATATTAATACGCTCAGGTCGGCGAGTCGTTTAAAATTTCCTGTAAATTGTGTTTCCCTTATGAATCCATATTTTTCCAACTCGAGATTGGAACTTTCAGGTTAATATTCGTCCTAGTCCTTCCATTTGCCGTGTTTATTTTATAGACTCCGTAATAACTTTGAAAAAGAAATTGAATAATATATACATTAAATGATCATACGCAAATTACGTAAAATACATATTTCGTCTATAGCATGATTTGAACGTTATATAAATCACTTTTCAACGCATGAATTTTTCACACAAGAATTACTTCTACACTAAAATTCACCGTGCTTCCCTAATTACGTTTGCTCTTTTAATCGATTCACTTTACAAGCGATCTATCCGAATCGAGGGAATTTGAGCTTCATCAGTAATCTCTGTCATGCGATCCAAAGGTAATTTCATTGATTACAGCTCATGAGTCAACCACAAAGGTTTCCAGCTAACCGGTAGTTACCATAGAACCCCATACTCCCTGGGTTTGCCCCTTTGCAATTTTACTATAATAATAATAATAATAATAATGATAATAATAATAATGTTGTAAATTTGACATAAGGTAACGCAACTCTGATGAAAATGAGCATAGTACCCCCTTTTTGTTCGCTAGTCAGACATAACGCGCTCGTAAACTGTCACCCTATTTACAGAAAGCGCACGTTTAGGATCGTACGAATTTCTTCCGCAAGATGTCACTATTTTCTTCGAAATGATCTCCCACGTTCGATTACATTTCTATTCTGCCGGAACTTCGCCGTTTTACTGTTCTACAAACTTCCGTTTATTACGTAGCTCGTATCGTCGTTTCGTCGCACCTCAACGACACGAATTTTCTTCCTTGGCTTCCGCTCTTGGACGATGTTAGTATTCCAACCGAACGGCGTTACCTGTACTTTTGTCGCAAATATTTACATGGCAGGTCGTGCTTTAACTCGTTAGAATGTTAAAGCTTTGCTTCGAAGTCTCTAATTGTTTACGCACACCGAGCATGTCAATTTTGGAATACTAAAGTGAAGCACAATGTAAATGTGAATAACACAGGAATAACTTCTGAACATTGCAGAAGTCTCATTTTTTAATTTTTGAGTACTTACACATGTGAAAAATGAAAATTTCCATAAAATGTGGGAATGGAGATTGGTTTTATAACTTATCTGCATTTGACACTGTTATACAGGTTTTATAGTACAATCGTATTTATAACACGTGTCTTCATGTTTACTGAACAAGAGAAGAGACAAAATTCGCACACTCGCGTGTTACACAACGATCTAACAGAGGGCAGGAGTGCGTAAATGTTAACAATGATAACTACAGATGTCGCGATCATCACCTATGGCGGTTATATTCAAACCTATGTTTATAACTAACTCTGTCTACATTACTATATATCTTTAGAAATATTCCTCCACCCAAAATGACTAGCCACAAATTTTATCTATTTCCAATTACTAAAAACATATACCTGTTCTATCAAAATTAATATTGACTTATATTAAGATAGAACAGTAATTTTTCATATTTGTCATCGTACTACTGAAATTACTATCATCCACGCTGTATTTAAATATACAATAAAGAATACAAGTTTCTTCGACTTCTATTCGCAAATTCTCGAGCAAAATCCTCACGAAAATTATACTTCGCCAAACATCTCAGGAGCCACGTTCCCCGGCTCTTTCAAAATCATGTTCTTCCGCGCTTATCGAAATAATTGCACGACGCCTCACTCCGCAATACAGTGGATCGAAGCGAACAGGAAACTGAGCAAACCCTCTCGACTCGTCTCTTTATTTGGAGACTGCAGGACACGGGCCAACGTAACAACACAAGTGTCGTCCTGCTGCTGCCGTTACTTACATGCAAAGAAAGAGAGTGGTTGGAAAGGAGGCTCGCGAGTCTTCGGCAAAGAGAGAAGGATGGGAAAGACGAAAGGAAGAAACAGAAGAAAAAGAAAAAGATGAAGAGAGGGAGGAACTGCGAGAGCCAAGAGGGATGAGAAGGAAAGAGGATTAAGAAAACCGAGGGCCAGGGTCGATCCTGCATACGGTCAGCAATGGTCAGCAAGGGCACCGTGCCAGGGAACTGCAGACGGACTTTAAGCTCCCTTCACAATGCAGACTCGCCTTGAATAGCGTGTTGGGACAAGCATTATACCGTTCGTTAAACACTCCAACGGAGTTTCTTTGTCTCGATCCTCTTCTAAATCGATACGACTGAGAGGACCAGGCTCGAGCTTAATTAAGTCTGATGCTTTGACGAATTGCGGCCCTCGTTACTTTGAATGTCGTCAACCTGAAGACAGGGAATATTTAGTATGTTCCTTACAACTTGGAATCTGGAAATGTATTAAAGTTTGCCTTACTTCTCAGATATTTAATATCATTTCATCGGAACACTGGGCGAAATCTGTCAGGGGTTATTTGCAAAGTCTGGCAAACTTGAAGAAGATGGAAATTAAACGAAATTGATTGCACAAGTGTAATCAGGTATTACATCGCTGGCTAAGATCAAGTTTCTATTTGGACCGACGTTAATTTAATTACCAATGTTTATTTAAACAGTTTTCTGGCTGGATAGAAGGAGGCAGATCCGGGTATCCTTCGGACGGAAGTTTCCTCGAGTTCCTGGGAAAAGTAGTCGTTACGTCGAAATAAGATCGTTCCAAAAGCGAGGATACTAGAACACGACGATATCCGAGGGCGATTCTTTGGACCGTTAAAAAGCTCCGAGTTCCTGCGAACTTAAAAGTCCCCAAGACTCAGGAAGATCTTGATCTTGATAGCTTCGAAGATTTGAAAGTCGTGGAACTTTCGAGTTTCTTGGGAAAAATCGAAAATCTCGGTTCGCGTGTGTAATCGTGGAGGGAACTTCTGAAAACGTCTTCTTGACGAATGCAGAAGAAAGACAATCCAGTTGCAGTAGCAACTGAAATAGCTGAAGTTTCTCCAGACATATGCCAAACTCGATAAAACGACCTATACCATAGAAAATTTGTATTTCCCTTACTTGCATGTCATCATCACCGCTACTGCCTATAAAAAAAAAGAAAATGTTAGCATAGTTTCCTTCATGGGAAGAGATAAATTGATTAATGTACCCCAATAGACGAGTAAATTAGGACATCGGGCTTTTAAAAATTCTTTTAAAAATTGGAAGACGTAATTTACCTGCAGAAGTTATTTAGTTTATGCACCTAAGTTTCGAATATGTCCTTGAAACACAGTTCCCCGATTGCGACACTAGTGACCTTAAACCAAACACCTGGATTCGGAGTAACGCTTTCCAACGACGTACGTGTTACCTCTCCAGCATTGTTCGCAACAACGCTTCTTGCACCTCTATAATTTAACCGGCACTATTTTAAACCGACCAGTAATACGATCCCCCAATTATTTCGAGCAGTACCAGCGGCCTATTATTCCCCCTGGCGATCAGCAACAGAGTTAACGCGATGACTGCGGTGCAACAACAACAGGGAGCAAAAATTTACGCAGAAACGGTCGGCAGAGGATCGCGCAAAGAGCTGGCATTTAAGTGGAACATTATAATCAGATCTCAGTTACAAAGGCCGCCTTAACCGAGGAACATAGGCTCGCGTGGTCGAGGCGAAGCCAGCCAGATCTCAGGCAAAACATACAAAACGATAGCTCGACAAGCCGAGCAAGGAACCACGGTGCATGCCGGGTACTGTAGGAGTCGGTGAACAGGCGAGTCGATCAGACCGGGCATGACGCCAGTCTTCCAAAGTCTTCCTTCCACCTTCGCGACGCTCTCGTGCTCTCCATTGTGCTCGTTTCGTGTGCTCCGGGATATACGCCTATCGATATGAGATTTACTCCGCGACGTTGTCTCCTCTTCCGGTTCTAACCTCGCCGGTTCCTCGTAGGAAAGAAACAGTTTCGATGGAACCTGCGACCAGGACCCCTTGAAACAGGTACGAAGATCGTTTGCAGGATCGACGAGTCGTTGTGTCTGACTAGTTCTACGCAGATCGATTTGGATGGAGATGAGGCAGGTCAAAGGTTCGAGATTGTACAACCCAAGTGGGTTTGTGTGAGTGACAAACGATGTGGCATAGTGTGATTCGTAGGTAGGCTTCTGACGATCCAGATTTTGGCATCTTTGCATAGGAGTGTCTTTATGGTTTGATCGAATAGGTCAATGTGGTGTGTCGTTGAGTTATTTGTTGAGATTTTCTGCAAGGATATCGGTGTTCGTGTTAGTATGTGTATCTCAGAACGCCAATTTCATTGGGGATAAGAGGGGGGTGGATTTGAATGATCGTAATCAGGTGCTGTAAAGGTGCTGGTTATGGATCAATAGATAAGTGGATTATTTTACCTGTTCGTTAAAAAAGGGGCTGTGTAATTGATATACGAGAACCGTACACTGATTGATTAGTTATCAGTGCATCTGTAGGTCGTAAACATTCACGCAACTCACGCATACAGCTATCGCGTTTTAGAAAGTAGACTTTGATACGTTCGTAGATTGAGTTTGTACACTTTGGTAACATGCGTGGATTTTTTCAGCTTAGGTTCGCTGATATCGTTCTTTCTTGCAGTTCGTTACCAGTTGAGCATTCTTGTTTTATTTTATAATTTGTTATACTTTATTCTTTGCATCCAGCATACAGTTAACGGGACAAACTTAATCAACATCCCACTTTTTCTACCTTTTCTTTATATTTTTTACTCTTTTCATACTTTCCATGCCAACCATACCGAGAAGCTTCTTAACCATGCATCAGCGTAAATGCCAAAGAGATTGGTCTCTCTTTGGCGCTTACATGGTGAAATAATTCGGTGTCAAAGTTAACGGAAAAACATCGTGCAACGTTTATACAAATACACGCGAACACGATGGTGTCTAAAAAAAAAAATTTCTATTTAAATGTACCAGTAAAAATGTTTATTTTACTGTAATCGCGTACTACCTGATTCATCATAACACACGTATACATCCGTGCAGTCATGTTTTATTTAAAAATTGAACCTCAACCGTGAGTCACGTTTTTCCAATTTTCAAACTTTCAATCATCTCGTTAAATTACAGAGGTATGTAAATCATTGTTAGGCTGACATTTTTCTGCCCCCTCCATTTTACCAATTTTTCGCAGGATATCTATTATCCAGCTAGAGTGTCGCTATTTATCAAAACTTTCACTATGTCATGGTATAATGGTAGTTTTCTTCCACCCAATAATTTTCAATTTTAATAGAAATTTAAATGACATTCTTTCTATCTTAACGTTCTTTTAAATTCAGTTCGTATAAATTTCTTCGATTCAGTTTCAGTTAAAATCAATTCCACCTTCACCAATTGTATCTCATTAGACAAAAACTGAAACCATAAAAAAAAAAGAAAATTAAATATATTTTGAATATATTAAAAAAAAAGATAATTCAGGTTAGTCTTCCGCCAAAAATTTGCCAAGCCTAACAATCTGCTCACCTCTGTACAATCGAGCGATTTCATTTCCATCACCTTGTTACGACGCCACGCGAGTAGTTGGTCGTAGACAGTTGGATCACCACAAACTTCAGGTTGCACGTAGAGCGTAGCGTTTTCAGAGCTCGATCGATCTTGGTCGAGATGATAGCTTTGCGTCGAGACGAGGAAGCAGCGCTATGACGCTAGACTCAAGGTTTACGCATTCACACCGAATTGTTCGCCCACGAAGTCCGCTGCGAGAGGATAGGTGGCCGGTGTTTGCGTACGCGCGATAGCTAACGAAAGATTGCATGCCTCGACAGAGCAACGTCAGCGCCCAGCGAACAGAGGGCAGCAAGCTGGCGCAACCCGGAACCCACGGACTGGTTCGCGTGTCCGCCGGCGAACTCCTTGGTAGGACCCACGAGGAGCTGGTGCTTCTGCTGATCCAGCTACGCAGGCAGAACGCCACCATCTACAAAGCAATGGAGACTTGCCACATGGAGATCGAGGCACAGGTCCGAAGAGATTTTCAGAAACACGATCAGCCGACGTTGTCGTCGCTAGTGTCGCTTTTGTCATCTGACACCGCGCGATAGGCTTCCTCCTATACACGGAAATGCTTTCGGGTATTGTTCGTAGATGGAGCCCCTTTGACATTACTTGAAAAATACGTTCTCTTTAGAAGTCATTGCTTTTGCTTTATACCATCGTATTTCTATTTCTATTCAACTTACCAATTTCATAAAACTTTTGAAAAATGAACAATTTAAATTGCTAAAACAATTTAATTCAAAATTCACTTTGTTCGTAAATTTTATTACATATAATTTTATAAAAATCTTGTATTTATAATATTTTCGGGTTATAATGATAAACGCAGAACGGAGAAAGCTCTAACTCGAACAAAACTCATACAAATAATTTGTATTGTTTCGGGGGATTTTTAATCAACGATTTCGGTTAAGCTTCGGTTTTATCGGATATTCTTTAGGATTCTGGATGAACAGGTTTTTGGGTAAGAAATTTTTGCATGTCGAAATTTCGTGGTAACTTTTTCGAGATAGTCGATGATTCGAACGGAGATGAATGTTTTCACGAGAACATTGATAGATAAGCGTGATCGAGAATTCTGTTATTTGCGCGAAAAATACCGTGGTTCGTGGTGAAGAACCGGTTTCAAGGACACGTTTCGAGAGAACGTCATTAAAATAGGAACTTTCTTCGAGAAAAAAATTCCGCTTTGTTCCGCGGTCCGATGATTCTCATCTCTTCACTATCTCATTTTTCAGTGTGCCTCTAACCATAGGTAGTCGATCTCTAAAGAGGGGTTAAAGGTTAAATTGAAATTCTCATGCGTTCTTATGAATCGATATTGCTTTAAGAAAAACCTAAGCGTCATTTTCACATTCTTTCATCAAGTTTTTAATTTTCAATCCTGTCTTGCACTTTTTAAATTTCCTTCGAACTCATTAGTTTCCCGCTCTTTTCTTTTCTGATGCTCGTATTAATCCGAATAAAGTTTTAAACGCACAGAGTGTTTCGAATACGATTCTACAAAGCAATGAACCGTCGCGTGTTCTAAACTGAATTTTTGATACTTCCATCTCTAACGGTTTTGAAGATTTATTTATTCACTTGTCAAGAGAGTCACTTTCGTACAATTTGCACTAAAGACTATAATCAGCTTCAACTACGATATAATTTACTATTCACAGCTATCACACGTTCTATTAATATATACCAATCTTCCATAGAACAATTTTACGCAAGACACACGTTCACCCGATTCGTTTTGTCCGAGGTGTTAATGTACGTTTTCCAAACAGCCTATATGTACAGTATCGTAACAAGCATGAATGTTTTCGATCGTTGAAAGTCCACTAACCCTTCCTCTTTGTTGATCGCCGTTCACCTTGCATCGAGAATGCCGATAAACCGCGTTGCCCGCCAGAAACGATATTACGTTTCCGTCCGATCGTGAGGAACGACTGGACCGTTCCCTCTTCCGCGATCCACACGCCCCCTAGTGGCGAATCAGAAGTTCGAACGCGCTCGACTCCTTGTGTCATCTCATTTTTCCGTCGTTCCTCTTTGTCAGCAGAGCTACGCGTCTGGAATGCCACGCAAATATGGAGGAACGTCCTGCGAGGCGGGAAAGTGTTTTCGATTTTCTCGTGTAGTTTTGTCTAACTGACGAAGCTCGAGTTTTATTACACGATCACATGAATGTTTCGTGGAGTCAGTGTGTGATATTTGGTGAAAGTAAACGTGTCTGTGTATCCTGCATCGTGTTTAAACATATGTTTCACGAGTTGTCATTAAAATGGTGGTATCTTTGATACTCTGTGGTTCGCATGAGGTGAGATGAATACCGATACTCTTGAATTGAGCCCCTTTTGCACGCGATTTTTCGTTTCTGATTTTACAGACGTTCGCACATTTTAATGCATTAACATTCATCCTTCGCTGAACCTTTGTGTGTCTGACTAGACTGGTCTTCGAATTTTCTTATCCCACAAAGATGAAAACCGAGTTTTCCGGTCAAGTGACGTGAGTGATCATCAGGAGCACACGTTCGAATGTCTCTTTGGTAGAATATTATTAATTATACGAGTAATCTCAGATTGTTGCCCTTCCAGGTGCTATTTCGTGTATTCGTTGAATTTTGATTAAACATTGCAACCATGATGAAACTAAGATACGCTCTCTGCGAGGCACGAATGTGTACCATTAAATAGGAAGAGCTATAGATACTTCTCAGCGTGGAAATTTCCCCGGTGTCGCATTTTAAGTAGCGATCTTTTGTGACCCGCAGGCTAGATTGGCAGAGCTTGATACCCCCCGACGATTGGAGAATCTTCAGAAGCTCGAGGAACTGAAGAAGCACCTGATGGATCTCGAGAAGCAGGTAAAAGTTGCTTTCCACTCTGCGTCGTGGTATTTCTATTGACCAGGTGAAAGCTCGAGAATTTTTAACGCCGGAAATGTCTCCTTCCTATTACTTTCGTCGTTTCAAAGACACGAGTCGCGAAAGATCAACAAAATCATCCAAGTTGCACGATGAATTAGCTGCAACGAAATTCATCTCGACGTTTTGCTCGTCGGTACTTAATTATTCTGTCCCCTGGACGAACTTTTTCGAGCGTAGCCTGGTTAATTGAGAGACTTGGAAGCAGGACAGTTTAAGGCGAGAATTCAATGTAACCGGTATGCCTTGTCACGAAGTACGAGAAGGGCAAGCCGTTGGTGAACCTTGTGGACAATATGGTGAAGCTGGGCTCCCTGTACAATCGCAACACTGCCAATGGGACCAACAGTGTCTCGGGTTCTCGACACGACCTAGCACACGACAATTCGAGGGATCATCGTTTGGAATTCAATCAGAAGGTGCAGGAGCAACGTTTGCTCGCCGAGGAGCGCAGGGACTGGGACCGATTAAGCCCCGATCATGGACAATTACAGGTATCGATTTCCGTATGTTATTGAAATAACACGGTACACACTTAACAATCCTTAACACGTTTCCATACGTTTAATAGCCGCTTCCAAATCCAAAGATGAAACATAAATATCCCTACGAAGAGAAATAAACAACCTATCGATGAGACATTCAAATATTATACGAAATATTCGAATATTCAAATAAAAATAAATAGAAACGAAAAAATAAAATTTGAAAAGTGAAAAAATAATTAAAACCTGAAAAAAGAAAAAATAATTAGTGTCTGTAAACAAAAAAAAAATAATACTTGAAAACAAAACAAAAATTACTAATAAATTGTTTTAAGGGGTGGGGTGGCTTGTCCCAACCTCACTTTCTAACTCCCACCCCTCGCACACAATGAAAATTTAGATGTTTCACTTCCAAAGTGGAACCGACAAATAACTTTACAGCGGGCGCGTTGCCCTTTATATAGGCCCCGATCGGCCGAAGATCGACGACAATTTCCGACCTTTACCGATTTCATTAATTATTATTTTTCCGCCTTAACAGTCAATAATTTATTCATTTTTTCACTTTTATTATAAATGTACATTGTAAAGAATTAGTTATTAACAATATTAATTTGTTATTAACAATCAGTGTAATAATTTATAAACTTTTGTAAATTCTAAGTACATTTTAACTCAAGTACAAATTTCAAGTTCATTTAATAGCTAATAATTTATTCATTTTTTCACTATTATTATAAATTTTCGTTGTAGATAATTTCTTATTAATAATAAACATGATAATTTATATATTTTTTATAAACTACATTCCTCACCTCCATACGATAAATTTTTATGATACGTATATGTATGTATCAAAATATTTTTATTTCCTCTATATTTTTGGCTAAAATAAAATCGTGCCTTTTTAGAGAAACTCATTTTTCCACAGTGTTATGAGATTCCAAAGGAAAATGTAGATAGTAATGCTACCTAAGGCCTTCGCATCACTAACCTAAAAATAAAACAATCATTTGTGACCAAAAGGTTTCAAAATTTCACTTCCCAACAAAATATCTCGAGAACTGAGAAAACCAACAACCTTGTGCAAAATATACTTGAGAACCTCATCACTAGCTTCTGTATATTCAACGAAGTGGGTTATGTCACTTGACGTTAAATTTCCGCGTTCTCTCGGCCTAACTTCCGTCCATAACCATATTCTCCATATTGTAATAAATACCATATAAGAAACGGTGTTTGGTGTTCTGGCAAAACGCACTCTTCCATAAAGAATAGCTGAAACGTAAGAAACGGTCGGTTACTGACTTGGAAAGTAAAAGAAAAAAATTCTAGACAGAAACAGATATATCAAGGATTATTTCCTTCTTTGTCCTCTGCAGATATTAAAAGACTGTTACTAGAATGGCACAAGGCAAACGAGGGTATACTCTGCGCTGGACTCTATATTCGATGCTTATGGACACCTTGCTTTTAGTTTTTTATTGGCACAAGCTGACATAGTAGCAGGACAACTTACGTCGTCACGTTTTTTTGTCCTGTTTTAAGAATTGACACTGATTCTACGCCAATGCCAATGCTATCGCTCCCTTGGTTTCCGCTCCTCTCGTTTGTTTTCCTTGTAATTTGATCTGACCTCGTCTTATTGGCGAAGTATATTTCAACGAATAACGAAGAACCTTATGTTCTGTATTTACGATTGTGTCGAAGATGGTCCTATTATACCGCGATCAATCAGATTCGCTTTCCGTAGGCATCTTCTCGTCGGTTCTCAACATAGGGCCGTTCGCAATAAACATTTGCTTCTCGACGAACTCATGCGTGCATTTAGTTCAGATTGCATTACGAGAGAAAACGTTGCGGTAAATATAAATTACACGTCGCAGGGTCCCATAACGGTGCATAATGCTGACGCGAAAATCAGGGAGATGGGAAACGGCGTAGGCGGGAGAAAAAGCGCGGGAAAATTACGAACGGTGCATCGAATACAGTTAAACTCTTTTGTGTCAGCTCGCTACGATAAAACATAGGGGGCGCGTTGGACCCAGCCGATGAAACATTATATTAAAAACCGTGGTTGCTCGCAGGTATGCACCAGACGGTCTTTTTCTTCTCTCAATTTTTTTCTTTTTTCTTTTTTCTTTTTACAATTATGACACGACGATCGTCGTTCATTCTAGCGGAATCGCGATTCCGGTTGAAACGCGATTCCTTGGTTGCTCGGCTGGAAAGCAAAACTTCAAGGTTAACTCACCATGTCGTTTCTGTGTCGTAGGCCAAGGTGCAGCAGCTATACAAACTGGATCGCTTGCTCCAGGAGGAATCCGGAACACTTCACAGTCTTCAACAAGATAAGGCGAGTAACGCGATCTGTGGCCTGCTGCAGCGAAAACTCGTGTTTCATTTTTTCTTCGATCCGTTCTTGGTTTCTTCGATTTTCTGACTGTTTTACCGTGTATACGAATCGGTGATGGGACTTTGTGGTTGAGTACTGCGGATCATCTGACAATACTGGAATGGAGGAGCGAAAGCTTATATAACATCTGTGTACAATTAACTCCTATTTCGCTTGAAGTTTATTCAAAAGTGATATTGTTTGAAAAACATCATGTGCGATATTAAAAAATAAAAGAATGTGTTAAATTGTAGACATATGCGCAGATAAAGATAAAATGACAAACTTATGCAATAGATAAATGTCTAGTTGTATATAATTGTGGAATTATAGGGTATATACTATACCTAAATTTTTAAACAATATTTAGCTGCTTAAAAGGCAAGAAAATGATAACTGAAAATATTAAAAGTCTTAGAACCACTTGCGTTAAAAAAGTAGATAAATAATCTTGATGGAATATTGAAAAATAAGAGGAAGTATCTGGAATGTAAATAACGTATGTATAATCGACTAGAAGCACCCATTGCATCAAATCTATTCGACCGAATTCCATCGACAAATTATTTTTATTTCTCCGTCCTGTATTTTTCGATAATTATCATCCACGATTCAGTCGTGCTCAGTCTTTCGATAAATTGAACGTTTCCTGATTTCGATTACAGGAGATCCTGGAAAAAGCATTGGGTGGTCTCCGACACAAGCTGCAGGGCAGCAGGAGCAATTTGGCGGAAGCGGAGAGATACAGGAAGCAGCAGCTCCTGCTGGAGAAAGAGCTTAGCAGAGTGAGGGTGTTGCTGGCACACAACTCCAAGGTAGGAAGACTCGTCGAGGATCCTGGTATCGCAGTTAGTCACTGATCAACGAAAAATCAGCTGAAACGAACAAAAATTAATTAAGGAAAAATTAAACCTAAAATGGACCGTGCGGGGTTTGCTCGCTCGTTCGAGAAAGAAAAAATGGGTCTTTAGGATCGAACGACAGATGCTGCATGATCACGAATAGCTTCGGCAAGTTGCCATGTTTCGACGAAACTTCAGTTGGTTTTGCGCAGATTTTCATTCGCCCAAATTCCAATCGAGAAGTTTTCCTTCACCGGAATTCGTTCCAGCGATTTGTTCTTCAAAGAACGGGAAATTTCTCGTAGCCCTCCTCTCCGTTTCGTATTCTCAAAGGGAAGGTATGGTCAGTTGGACTGACTTGTTGTGATACAAGTAGGAAAATAGCGAGCATGCATCGTGTGGTTCCTCATTGAAGCAACTGATTTGCCTGATTTAATTGTCCGTTCGTTGTTTCCAGGTAAAGCCGGTATTCTTCCAGGTAAATCAATCAAAGCACAGAAATAGATAAATTTCCGTTTCGTTGGCCGTTCTGTTCGCATTTTCGTCGTCAACGTTTTAGCTTCTCATACTTGTTCATAGGGGAGATAATGAATATTATTCTGTAATCTTTGGCTTTCAGAAACTCGAAGAAACAGTCGCCGAGAACGCGAGATTGGAGCAAGATTTAGTGGTGCTACGACAAAAGCTCCAAGCATCGAGAAGATATGCAGGGAACATGACTAGAGACACCTCGGCCACGACTGGTCCTCTTGAAGCAGAATTGAGAAGAGTTCAACAATTAGTCGGAGATCTTCAGAGACAACGAAAGGAGTTGAGTATTCAAGTTAGACAGTTAACAGAGAAGTCTCATAGTTTGGTGCAGCAGATTCGACCGCAACCCACTTCTGGTGAGTTAATATTGTTTTTGAAATACTAGAGGTAGCAAACCCAAGACATCGTTGCTTAGATATTTTATGTTAAAGAATTTCAATGCCCCATGTTTTCCTGTTACATTGCTAATATAGTGTGCAAATTGTGTTTATTGAATAGTAAATCTAATTATACCACACAAAATTGTTTTGGATATGACAACTATAATGATAATAATTAATAAAGACTTAAATAACCGAAGACTTCAAAATTCTGTAAAATATAATTTTATTCTTCTGTTACTAATTCAGCCCCTCAAGTACATCAGCCAAAGAAGCGAACACAAAACTCTTGGTTGGAGACTGATCTCGATTCCGGAATAACCTTGGACCACGGCTTGGACTCGCCATCAAGCCCCGCGCTGTCCTCTTCACCGCGTGGAAAGCAGAATGGTGGACCGTACCCGCATTTCAGTTCACCGACACAGATCAAAGACTCGTCGCCCACGAATCGTCAGCAGACGAACTTACAGTCGTATCCTCAGTCGCCACAGAATCATATTTCCTCGCTCTCTCCTCAGCTACGAGAACAGATTCAACAGCATCAGCTGAAGCAACAGCTTTTAAAGGATCAAATGCAGGGGAAAGGAAGCCTGATGCAAGCGAATGTCGTTCCATTGTACGTCAACACAGATTCCAGAATTCAAGGTGAGCAAAGAAGTTGGTTGAAGAAAATCTAGTAATTTATGAATACGATGTCCTGGATATAAGTTTTTCTCAAATATCGTCTTAATTTAAAACGAATTTTTAAATACAATACCATATAATATTTTTAACCAATTCTAGAAAACAATAAGCAAGATGAAAATCTGACTAATGGCACAATTCCTCCACCGGAGTACGTTCCACCTCCGCCGCCACCACCTCTAAACGAAGAGGCATTACTAAATGATAATTACAGACAAAACGAGGACAACAAGTTTGCTGGTAAGTGAAGCAGTAACGTAACCATCGGCCTTTAATACAATAGCGATTGGTAATTCGTGACAATGGGATTTTCAAGGCCTAATACATAACCGTGAGAAACAAGAGATTAAGACCGTGCGAATTGTGAAACGAGAATCTGAAAGACGTCAAAGAGATCGAGGAGACAGAACTGGAAACATTGGAATTCCATTAACGAACGGACTTCAGGCTCCTGGTGGTGCAAAGAGATTATGCGACGATGATTTAGGAGGTTCCCAGAAGTTTGAGGTAATCTCTTCAAATTTCCTACGTTACTATTATCTTCTAATCGTCAATTTGTAGGATTTAAAAAGATTCATATATTGTGATTAAAGATTTTCAATCAATTTATTTCGAGCCTTAGTAGTGTCAGCTGCGTCAAACGATTTGTTGCAGCTTTCAATTTTATTTTACTCTATTTCCAATCAATTTATTTTTAGAAGGCCCAATTAGGAAAGGTGGTAGAAGAGTCGCCGATGATTCACGCTCAAAGCACAGTCCAGTTAACGGATTTGGACGACGTGCAGTTCCAAAGAAGCATGTCCTTACCAAGAGGTTTCGGCGGACAACGACAACAGCAGCCTGAGATTCATCAAGTTCCAGTGGTGCCTCCTCCTAGAAGCGATAGTATGCACGCTCTGAGAACTATGCTAGCTAGACGGAACAAAATTAGGGTAAGTTAGTAATGTGCACTAATGTTTTTTTTATTTATATTTTTCTATACCGATGCGCTAATTAATTGAACTAATACATTTTTTAATACTTACCCTGTCAGATCCGATTGTTTCTTCGTGTTTATATATATTAAATTTAATTAATTTCTGAAAAATCCTTCATTGTGTTAACAATTTATGTTTTAATATAATGTGAATACTAATGCAATATGTGTACTAATCTATTTTGGATGACATTATATTCACAATTTTTTTATGTTTTCAAAACAAAGTTTAAAGTACGAAATATTTCAAATATTACGTATTTCATAATTATGAAATGAGGATGAAAAACTTTTTTTTTATACTATATAACAAAATTCTCTACATTCAGCGTATCGGCACAGTTAACATTGAAGTAAAATTCACGAGCACCATCATCAAACACTGGTACACACAATTTCATACATTTTATTCTTTCTTCTTTTTTCATTGGTTTCGCCCTTCACTTTGCGACGCCTTATTTTGTCATCCTTCATTATTTTGCCTGCTGATGAATGCAGTTCGAAACTCAGGACGGAAGCTCGGACAGTACTCTATCACCGTACACGGAGAGCTTTGCTTCGAGCTCGCACGTGCCTATGAGCTCACCAAATTATTCGACCAGTCCGTCCTATAGTCCCAGCCAGCAGAATTATCCGATTAGATCCAACCACCACCACCATCAGCTGCCATATTACCCACCGTATAGACACTACGAGAATCCTGTAAGAAACGAAAATATCCTGGAACCAGTGAGTCCAGAATTATTATCACCGACGAATCTCGAAGGCCAGGACAGGGCATTTGGTTCATCGTTGAACGTGAACACGTCTAACTCACCGCAATTATCGCCCGTTTTCAAGAGCGAGGCCGCAAAACAGATCATCAAGGAAATGACGGAGAAAAAGGTTGAGGGGCCAAGACGCAGACAGATTCCTCGCGAAAAAAGGAGACACTATACCGTGTCCAGTAGCAAACCTGTCCTCGACCTAGAAGACACCTTCTCCAAGATGGTATCTTTTCTTTTTGTATTTTATGTTTTCATATTTCTTCTCGTTGCCTCCCTAATTCACGTATGTTCATTTAGTTTCCTTTTGTTTTCCTTTGTTGATTTCGTTTTTATCGTATCGTTTCCTTTGGCGTCGCTTTGTCGTGATTCATGTATGCTGTTGAAATACAGTGTGTAGTGCGTATAGGAGATTTGTTGATGTTACCTAGGGAATGGGTAGAGCCAGAGATGATCTAGATATGGAACGAGCGCTCAGGCCGAGGATTAATGCACCGGATGTTGTAAGATCGACCTTGAGTCATAAGGAGCTAAAATATAACGAGAGCACTATCGATCAGCTATTAGGAACGCCCAATAAAATTGTAATTCCAGAAAGATACATCCCTGAACAGGTAAGAAATCTGCAATAGAAATAACTTTTTATGCCTCTGATATTTTAGTATAGTGATATTATTGCATTTCAGACACCAGAATTAACTGCGGAAGAACAGGAGCAGCGACTGAAGAAGGCGGAAGCAATAAGAAAAATGTTATCGGAAACAACCGTGACTGCGCCGGATGGAAGCGGTATGTTATCCATATAAAATTCCATTACGTCAATAAAATATTTTTTTAATAAGTGGAGAAATTTAAATAAATGTTTTTTTTTTGTCGTTTTAAGTAAGTGATAAGTCATTGTTCTTTCAGATGATAATATCAATATTGAGCAGTCAGACAGCTTGAAAAGAAAAGTAGTCGAAGAGAAACGGCAAAGAGAGCATATTCTGCAACTAAATCAAATTTTGGCCAAGCAAGTTATGGAAAAAAGCAAGATGGTGGCAGGTACATTGAATTCTGACTCCGCGATGAAAACTGTTTAACTACTTGATTCATTCTGCATGAATCTAATATATAGTGATTAGTGGTGTGATAGCATGACCAATGTTTAGACAAGCTTTCGTGCCTTCTGCTTTTTAGTGCAGAAGGCTTGCGCTTACTTCAATTTATTCATTGTACATTTTTATTTACTTATCGTACCTTATTATCCTATAAAAACTAGAAGAATATCGTTATCAATCGGCCTGAATCAATAACTTGACTTTTTTCTTGAGTTTTGCTACTTCTTTTTCTTTTGTATACTGTATTTCTTTTACTGCTAAAAGTGATACTTAGAAGTTAGCATATATATATATTTTTTCTTTTTTATAGAAGTTTAACATTCTCCAGTTTTAATCATAATATTTTTAATAAGTTTTTTCATTGGCATGCATCATTGTGAAAATTTTAATTTTAATTATATAATTAATTTCTCATCGAGGCTCCTATTGACGTAAGATATAGTTGTGTCATATGTAGTGAGTGTTGTTTGGATTGTTTATGATGTGTATAGGTAACCAGGCACACTGACTGACATACTTTCTCCATCTTCCCATATAGGACACGCACATCATATTATCGTTTCTCAGGTTTGTTTATATTTTTCTTTCATTTTTTTTTTTTAACATTTCCCCTCATACATCCTTTCCTTGATTAATTCCCCCTCTTTTTTCAGTGATTTTCTTTTTCTGCTTGGTATACGTTTGTTGGAGAAATATAATTTTTCAGATGTTTTACAAAAAATTTTATCTATTATTTTCAAGTGATGCTTTCTAAAATTTAAGTTTAAACTAGTTCTCCAGCAAATGTTTCATACCGATTCAAAATTAATTTCTATATCTTGATAGTGAAAGCACTGGCCACTCTTCCTTTGAAGACCGAATCGAGCTTAGAAGACGAAGATCTTTCGCCTGTAACGCCATTACCGCTCTATCAGCAGAGAGAGAATTATTACTCGTAAGGGGAATCAAACTCCTTTGGATGTAGCTACCAAAAACAAATTCTTTAGCACAAAAAAGAAAATACTACTGCCAGCCCGGAACAACAGAGAAACAAACATCTTTCCTCGTATAATGTTTTTTGAAATTTCATAACAGGTGGTTTACCTTACACTTGCTATTACTATTATATTAACGATAAAGAAAACGATGTTTTTTTTATTTGCATCAATATTGTACATAATCATCGAGTAAATAAACTGATAATAAATAGCTCTGAATCATCGATAAGGACTAGTAATATAATGGGTGTCGAGCAGAATTAGGTAAACGATATTTATAGGAGAAAATAGTAAATATTCAAATGATTATTTTAATCCTTTATTTCGGAAATAAAGCTTTTAATTTTTTTATTATGTCTTCTCTTTTTTAATCAATTTCAGATCCCCATTTATAGCAAGTATAGTTTAGGTTTATCAATTAATGCAAAATAGTTTATATTTACTATTTTCTACTTGAAAGATTGTATCGTTTAATTGTGACTTCGAGGCAGAATGGTTTCAAGTTTCGATTTAAATGGAACCTTAATTTTCGTCTGTTCATTGAATTACTGAATGTACATTAAGAACACATCTACTAATTTCACACAACATCTATATTCAAAGAATATTCTATTCAATCTCATACATCTGTTCATATCAATAAACACATGGAACATAAAATTCCGTGAATCATAAAATTAAAGACTAATTATGAGGCCTATATTGCATAATCATAAATGTTGCTCTAACATAAAGTATTCTAGTGATAATTATTCTGGCGCTATCATGCTTGATGTCATTCTGGCTCGATGTTTCCTCTTCTTGTTGAAGAGAATGCTTCCACGAGTTTCTATCACTAGCAATAATAATAAATTAAGAAGCAACAATCGCACAATGCGGTTTATTTAGCAAATGACTGTAATCGAATTCCTCTAATTTGTACGAATGCCGTTGTTTAGGAAGAAATTAAGTATAGTAATAAAATAAACATTCGGAAACGCGGTTAACTACTGAGTTCGGTTAATATTAAATAATTTTAATAATATTTCTTAAAAATTATTCTTATTATGTTTTATGATATACATTCGGTAAAAAAAACATTATTTAATTAAATACTAACATTAGAAATAAAAAGTAAAAATAATTTTGATCTTTGTTTGTCTGCAAATCTACTTTTTTATAATATTTTTGTTAATAGAAAATTCGTTTACAAACTCATATTAGCCGAATTCAGTTGAATTTGTTTGTTACATAAAATCGAGCTTCGCAAACTCGTCTTTTCAACATTCGTTAACAGAAATATTTCTTTAAATTTATATTTACTAACGTTAATTAGTAGAAAATAATTTATTGTATCTATATATGTGTACATATTGCAACGAGTTTGAGAATCATCGGTTCGAGTCATACGCGTGTTTAATTAAGAGAAACGAATGTTCTAGTGATAAGGTAAAAGAAATAAGGTAGAATTTAAGGTTGCGTTTACGGTAGGTGCTACGAGAAACGCAACATAGTCAAACATTAATAAACTATAAATAACGATCACATTGAACTGACTGAGATGAGAGTGACTTTTGAGGTATAAAACACCGATCAAGGGTACATGAAGTCTTAAGTAGGTTTTTTGAACATCTGTGTGTTCTCAGTGGTTCATTTTCAGCGTGCAAGATAATGATTGAGTTATTGTGCAATGAAGTGTTCATTGCTAACACTATTATCACTTAAGAATTTACAATGTTTTTGTAAGTAAATTAAATAACACTTGTTCCAATCAAAAAGAATTTAAGAGATGACTAACAAGTTAAACAAAATATGTTTTAACTAAGGGAACCAGATATTCTGTAAATTTTTTTACAGAAAAACAAGCTTGAAGTTGATCTATTCAGTGAAATAAAGTTAAAACGTTATAGGTAATAATATTTACTAGTAAAAAAATTTTACTAACAAAATTTGCCAATACATTATTTTACTTAATTTTTTCAATTTAATCATTCTATATATTATTATATATCGTATGGTTATTAAAAAAAAATGGAATGAAAGTTAACGTACGTTTAATCGGTGTTTCCATCTGTAAATCAGCTCATCTGCTCCAATTTCAACGTGGTCAAATGCATGGATTTATATGACATGCTAATCACTTGAGTACTCGCCAGCCCATTCAACACTTTTCTTACGAATTTGTTCATGCAGATGCATGCATTTGATCGATGTCGAACCACACCAGTAATTTAAGGAACACGTAACATATATATACGCTTTAGAGACGTCTTGTAATAGCGTTCTACGTCGATCGTCTTCGCCACTTTTAACGTTTTGGAACAACGTGTACTACGTTTTTCTAAAGTCAAGTCTCGTGCTCATCAGCTAAGATCGTTACGTTGTTTAACGATATAATGGAAAGAAACGACTTCTAAAGTGCAACTAGATAAATTTCATTGAATCTTGAAAGTGTGCAACAAACGTCTGACATCGTATCCATTTAATGGAAATCGATTGTTAACGTGTCTTTCGATATAATCGAAACTTAATTCTTTGAAGCGGGAATTGAATTAGTTACTATTATTCTGATTACAGAATTAATCACTCATTTCTCTTAATGCAGATTTTTCATATTTTCTTTCATCGAATTAAATTTTCATTTAAACCTACCAAGTTTATATAAATAGCATAGTTCGTGTAATATAGCAAACTAGGAAAAAGTACCAGTATGACGACGCTTCAAAGGAGTAAGAAGTAGCGCTACATTCAGATGTAATGCGTCGAAGAAATGCGCGGACTGAGCACAGTCGCGAACGTTTCTAACCTATCTTGAGCAGTTATTAGTCTGTTGAAAGCTTAGACGTTAGAATGACGAGAGCGTTTCGAACGAGCGAAATCGAAGAGTGCCAAATTATACACGCAAAAGCAGATCGATCGCGAGATGCGACAACTGCTCGTCAATTAAACAAAGAAGAAAGATGTAAAAGCGAAAACCGGCGAGACTAACACGCAGCACAAACGGTTAAACATAAGGATCTCCCATCGACGAATGTCAACCCCGAGAAAAAGGTATCTCGCTAATCATGCTAATTAATGGTAGAAACGCGTTTCTATTATTGAGAACTCTTCGGTCCACAGGCATCAACGTTAGGAATAATTTTTTTACGATACAATAATACATGTATTGTGTGCGAAGTTGCACGGTGAAATCAGCGATCAAATCGCGATCGAATCGTGATCATTCCTCTCGAGGATAAATAAGTTGAGAAAAAGAGCTTAACTCACAAGGAATGACCGTTTCGGCGAAATCGTTACCATCGTGCCCTTTTTAAGAACTTTCCCTTCGTGGATCGAGCACATTTCCTTCGCGAATCGTTGTGAACGTCGAAGACAGAAGTTCGAGGAAAAAAAGATGATGCGTTCGTTTATCACGGCGAACTCCTTGTTCAGCATCCCCCATTGGTCCATGGTACCTGAGAAACCAGCGAAGGGTTGCTTTCTGCGGTTACCACTGCGCCAGACGGATCGTTAGAGCGACTAACACCGAAACACTATTGTAAAAGGAAACTACTGTGGAAACAGGAACTGTTATTGTTACACGAATAAAATAAAATCCATATTACATGAGCTTGAACTGTTCTTCCACCTTTGTTCTTATTGTTCATTTGATATTATTGACTAGAATATTCGTTGGATTTCATATTAGATATTTTCTTTTTTTTCATGATGACTTTTTTAGACCAACATCCTAGAGTCGGAAGTATTTGGTTTGGAGGTTATAACAAAGAAGTATACACATTGTTGCACCGAGATATTACAAGATTCAATGCATGACTCTATTTTAGGAAACTTCAATTCATTCAAAATGTTACTTTCAGTTTTAACCATTTGTCTCGTGCAAAACCTTGAGGTAACTTTCCGACAGAAAATTTAGAAATAATACTGACTTTTGTGACAATGGAGCTTATTAGAAGAAACTAAATTTAATGCGAAATTTTTTAATTGAGATAAAATTGATACATCAGTATACTAGAAAAAAAAAACATCTATGAAAAAATATATATTGATGTTTCATCGATAAGCGAAACACCTACGATAGAAATAACTTCATTAATTGTACAACAAATATTGTATCACAGCGTAATATTGATCTTTAGATAAAAATTTGTCGATAAACTGTGTAACTTTGATATTTTATAAATAGTATATTTAGATAAAACGTAAGATAATAAACAAAAATAAAAGAAAATGTGAATAATTCTATACACTCCTTTGTTTAAATTTCTATCAATTTTAAATGTACCATTCTATTCATTTTAAACAAATATCTGATACAATGAAAATTCGAATACACTGCAATTTTAAGAAAAAGGGACGAAATGATTAAAATGTAATAATCACCAGCCTGCACTCTGAATCATAAGTCGGCAAGATATAAATCAAGGAGAGAACGAAGATGAGTCGAAGGAAAGGACAGAATCGAGACAAAGGGGATCGATGACGAATCAAAGGCAGAGACTTGGTCGAGAAGCGAGACATCAGAGGTGACGGATTGTGATCGTCAAGTGATCGGCCCCCTCGTCGTTGACGGGAGGCAGAGGGTCGACGAACCAACCAATCGTGCCGGGCCTCTTGCACCTGAATTCTAATGAGGTCCACCTGGGTATATATGAGAGCTTAACCTCGACCGAAGCCACGATTTTTCTGGGGTGCCCGCTTGTCGTGAAGGTGAGTCCTCTTCTCTTTACTTTCCTCTGTCTCTCGACATCACTTTAACCAGCTCCCCTCTGTGTCTCCTCTAAGATCACTTTCGACACTTTAACGTTCATTGTTCGATAATTGATAATATATTGCCATCGTGGTTTCTTTTTCAGTGTCTTCTCGTGCCTGTATTAAACATATATTTGCGTGATTGAAAAGCTAAGTTCAAAAGATTTTGTTTGGATTTAAATGCTATCTCATAAATATATCTCATCGAACATTTATTACACTCGTCCAACGTTAATTCCGATGTTCAATCATTTCATTTACTTTAAGTACTTGATCTTAATTTTAAAAATAAAGCGATATCAAGAACGATTAAATGTCAATTGCTTGTAAAGGTAAAGATAGTTATCTCATTACTTATCGCAAAAAGTTTCTATGGACAGTTTTACTCATCGTACTTATATCTTGTAAGCTGATCACCATCACCTTAGAATCAATCAATGGAAAATTAATTGGAAAAACAATAACATGTTTGCAAAATATCTGTTATTTGGTTAATTGGAAAACTGTGTAACTCAATTAGCGGTAACTATCCTGAGCAATCTAATTTCACGTTACACTCTTGTCATGAGTCAATAATATTTCTAAAAAGAGATCTTTCTATACTTACATTCTTAAAATGTTATTTTTCCTCGTTTCTTGGTCAAAACATCGAATATTTCTTCTTCCAAGTAACACTGAAAGCATTTTTGTTCAGTAATACACGAAAATATAAGAAAAGAACCGTTGCCAAATTTTACCGCTAGTTATATTCGTCCAGTTTCAATCTCAAGCATCGTGGACCATCAAAACAAAATCTGTCGGTATTTACATGAAGTCGTTGGAATTTTGTTGCGATTACCGACACGTCACTTGGGCCATAGTCCTCTCCCTTCGTTTCCGTCTTTTTTCTCTTTCTTTCAATGATCCGCGGCCACTCGAAGGTCACTGTGAATGTGGTTCGAGCATTGTGAAAAAGTTTTCAATAACCTCGTTTTCAAAAAAATTATAAACTCTAAGATTCCACGGTCATTCTTATCATCGCGGAATAACTATGTGAAATATTAAGTAGATAAGAAAAAATTGGTCCATCTGATCGATCACATATCACTCTGAATGTCGGTCACGTCGAATCGAAGAAGTTATCATCTATCGATTCTTTATGCGCACGAGGTAATCGAATCGACGAAACGCAGTAGACTGCATTGCAGCGCCAAATCAAGCGTCTAATTCGCAAATAGTCACGCGCGTTGTTACGTTCTTGTACACCAGGAAGAACCTCGAAATCGTGCACGACTAACGAAGAATACGTATCGAAAATGAGCCAACTAGTTCCTCTTCCATTCATTTCTTGAATACTGATCCGACGTCGCGTATATAAATTAAAGAAATGATAAAAATGTTCCACTTAAGAGGTTATCTTGTGTTTACAAGTCCCTCGATCTATCCATGGAAGTAGATTCCAGTGGTTTTTTTAGTTCCATTAAACGAAAATTCTACAACTCGTAAAACGTGAACATCGAGGAAGAAATGTTTTAAAACTTTGATAAAAGTCACAAAGAATATAGAAGTATTCGATCGAGAAGAGAAACAAAACCTGTACAGTTCGTGAATTTCTTCGAAGAAAATCGTTGGAATATAAGTTATAGAGAAAAAGTTTAAGACGTTGGTTTCAGAAGTGCGTAAAAAGATGAACAAAATACTAACATTTCGAGTTATTATCTCGCTGGAAACGGGGAACCTCCGTGTATAGGTTTGTTGATGTTTGTATTCGGAGTGCAGCTCGCGGAATAGTAGTCGAAGGATCCGATGCAGCCAGCATTTTAATTCACGCAACGAAAAACTCGGTTCGGATCTTCTTTTATCTTCGCAAACCGGGATCATTATCTAGTTCTTTTATTTCACGCGAAACTCATCGAATTCCAAGAACCATCTTTAATCTCCTTTCGCCTTTGTTTCTTGTTCGGCCGGTAGCTTTGATCGTCATTCGAGACCCGATTTACTTTATTGTGAGACAATATATGAAAAATTCTCATAAATGGTATGCGAAAGTAGCGGTAAGATACAAAGAAACGTAACAGTGAGGGAAACGTCGTATGTTTCCTTACATCTTCGAATTTGTATCGCTTTTCTCCCGCCATTTTTCGACTCTTTTATTTCGAGTGTTTACCACGGCGCTATGATTCTCGTGAAAATAACGGATTTTTCAGACAACGTATCGGAAAGGAAATGAGGCAATTCAATGCGAATAAATGGAATACTCAGAATTTCGGTACCTTTAAATAGAGTGTAATATGAAACCCCGTCGTAAAATATAATATCCAACACATTCTTCGTCGTCGTTGATGTTTATTCGTGTTTTCTATACCCTCGAACTCACGTGACCACCAGTATCAAATTACCCTCCACGAAACGAAACGATCGCTACAGTTTGCTATTAATACCGAATATTCGTTCAGAAATATGAGCATTTTACGAACAGTTACATTTACGTATTATAACGCGAATATTGAATATTTGTACATGTGTATATAAATCATGCAACCGGTATTGTATTGAAATCCAACGAGATGAATCTATCTTAGATGAATTCTTGTTTTCAAAATCGATTGAACAATTCGTAGGACAAACAAAGTATTGTGAGTATGCACCTCGCATAATTTACAACTGTTACGTAACATTATATATCTGCGAATTTTTTTTTTACAGTTAATTCACCTTGTACACTACGCTAATCACACCCGCTGCGCATCTCAATTGCGTTACTAAATAACTGTTAAAGATAAAATATACACAGGTGTCAACGGAAACCGGTCATTTTCCCAAAGGAAGAATATGTTTGAAGACTTAATGACGACCTGTTACTACCAAGAGACACGCGTGTTTTATTCACGGCGTGGATTAAAGCGGGAGAAAAGTCGGCATCGTTAAGCAATTGAGAATTTTATTTTGCAATTTCGTCCGCCCAGGTCCCGCAAGGGGATGAACCCCCCGTTTTTATGGGCATGTTCTCGCAGCTTGATTTCTCGTCGACTTTTATCGGCGAGAGCCGCGTAAAAAATATCCATGGCTTTTATCGATCGTGCTGTTTCGCACACCGGTATCGAATAACGCCTTGGTTTTCGGTCCTCGTGCTCGAACTCCCGTTGAAAAGGTGCTTGAACTTTTAATATTCTATACCGCATCTTTCTCTGAGCGCAAACTCGTTTTCGTCTTAAGGTGTGCAAAGGCTGAGCTGGACGTAGATTTGTGAAGGATTGACAAAGGAATTGATGAAGGAGACACTCGGTACTTCAAACAGAAAAAATTTTTGCTTACAAATGTAAGGATCAGTTAATTTCATAGACTGCTTTGCCATGATTAAATACTTGAGTCCTCGTTTCTTCACCACTTACCCTAAAAGAAAGAGCAAACCGCTTAGACCAAAAAGAAACGATAAATTACTAGCATAACGTTACAAACACCGTAATTAATACCCAGTTTTAATATTTGAGAAAGAATTATTAAAAATAGCGAAAGAATTGTACAATCTATAATGATAGCAATTGACTGTAATAAGTAATCTTCATACCATATATCTTTTACTGAAATCTCTTATCTAAGTTTCAAATTGTAACTTGTTATTTTTCTGCTTCACGCCATGATAACAATTTCCTTGTATTCTTCGCGATATCAAAGGAAGTTTATATAAACATGAAATGGAATGACACAGAGTAACAGGAAGGTATGAAATCAGTGAATGACACATAACCTATCCAATACCCAAATGCGATTCCTCGAGTTTTAACACAAGCGTAACGTTCGAGGTCAAGATCAAGATCAAGATCAATGAAAGGGGCTTGGGTGGATCATGACACGTTTATTCAATACTCGTGCAAGGAATGCACTAACGTGAGATTATTGGGAAAAAATTTCACAGAGATATCACGGTATTTACTTTACTGGAAACCGGTCGGCTTGGATTATTCCCTGTTTGAAGAATGGCGTTTCAATGAAGCGATCACCGTGCCCACCACCCAGTGTTTCCAATCAACCTGTGTTCCTCTTATAGAGCTGCCTCGATACTCGACTTAAACAGACGTTGATACTGCCAGGTGACGATTGTGACATCGTCAATATTGTCTCTGACTCCAACTTTCGTTCCATCGAAGACTGATTGAACCGTCAAACTTGGATAACTCGTTGCTGAAAGAAATTCAATATATTTGCTATTTTACAACAGCTGAAATAATAGCTGACTGAAAAGGTTCTTACCACCTTATACAATGAAATTTGATCAAGATTATTTCTCATTTCCAACTTCTTCGATAACTTTCTCTTGTCTGCTTAAAGTATTCAATGTCAGGTTCGAGTAAAATCAATCACGAATTTATCATTCGAGACATCTTTGAATGAGATCTTTATAAATTTTTGGGTTCATCTGGTGGAGTAATATCAGCTGCTTATTAACCGAATTTTTGTTGATTTTTTAGTTTTCAGGATGACAACGGGAAAGAATCTCCTGATACTTCCAATATTGCTCGTGGCTCTTATTTACGCGACAGGTAAATACACTATTCCTTTCAGATAATATATTCATAAAGCTAGAAACGTGTTTCTAACATTAGAGACACGTGGTCGAAATAAAAGAAGAAGTAACTGAACGATGTGTGAAAGTTTCAGCGAACCAGCCTGCTAGAATAACGTGTTACTTCAGCAACTGGGCAATATATCGGCCGGATGTTGGCAGTTACGGAATAGAGAACATCCCAGAGAATCTCTGCACCCATGTCATTTATTCGTTCATCGGTGTAAGCAATGTTACCTGGGAGGTGCTTATTTTAGATCCAGAACTGGACGTGGACAAAGGCAATTTCGTGGCCTTCAACAAACTCAAGTCTAAGAATCCACACTTGAAGACCTCCGTAGCTGTTGGCGGTTGGGGAGAAGGTGGCAGGAAGTACAGTGCTCTGGTCAGTGTGAAAGAAAGGAGAGACACTTTCATCAAGAGTGTAGTTGGTAAGGAGGTTTAATTAAATAATCTTACCTTTAATTTGGGTACTTGTCACCGTTTACTTCATTTGTTTGCTTACATTTTTATTATTGCTAGTTTAGAAGCTTAAGAATTCATCCAATTTTGGTTGCCGGAAACTGGGTTCTATCGCAGTTACAATTTTTTGAATATTATTATATACGTTTAAATTAAGTGAAAATAAAATTAAATATTCGATATGCTTATATAGATAATGATGACTTCTATGTTACTATTTTTCACCAGGATTCATGCACGAGTATGGTTTTGACGGCTTCGATCTTGATTGGGAATATCCTGGTGCTTCGGACAGAGGTGGCAGATATACCGACAAGGACAAGTTCTTCTACTTTGTGGAGGAGTTGAGACGAGCCTTTGACAAGGAGAATAAGGGATGGGAGCTAACAATAGCGGTACCGATGGCGAAATTCCGTCTGGATGAAGGATACCATGTCCCAGAATTGTGCAAGTGAGTGAATCATCGCATTCCTCGTTTCTTCTTTAATCTTTCGATTATGAAATTCATTATCGGAGACCGTTAAATGGTACTGCTTCTGCTAATGCATTCATAAATCACGATTTCATGGCTTCATAAATTACAATATAATAAGAAAAACTTTTCCACAGAAATATGGACGCTATCCATGTAATGGCTTACGACCTCAGAGGTAATTGGGCTGGGTTTGCCGATGTACACAGCCCACTTTATCGTCGTCCGCACGATCAATGGGCATACGAGAAATTAAATGTTGTAAGTGTTGGAAGAAGTGTATATCATCCTCATAAAAAAGATATATGCGTTGAAGCGTATATTTATATGCAGAAAAAATCCTACTTAAATATTAAAATTCAAAGGAACTATTGAATGTAAATGCATACCGTACTAGAAATAATGTAACTTGTTTGTAATATTATATTCAACATTTTCCCCATAGCACGATGGCCTTCTGCTTTGGGAAGAAAAAGGTTGTCCTGCGAAGAAACTGGTCGTCGGAATTCCGTTGTACGGACGTACGTTCACCCTCAGTCAGACTAATAAAAATTATGAGCCCGGCACTTACATCAACAAAGAGGCTGGTGGCGGTGCGCCTGGAGAATATACTCAAGCTAAAGGATTCCTATCTTATTACGAGGTACAACAGACCAATGTTCGATATTATAGCCACATAGATCGATAAATAAATAATTTAAATAAATAATGCGAAACTTTGTATTGTCTTATTATTTAAAAAAAATTGTTTATTTATAGATTTGTACTAGGTTACAAGCGCCAGGCAGTAACTGGACTCAAAAATTCGATAACATTGGCAAAGTTCCATATATGTATCAAGGTATGTAAATAAGTTAAGTGAGTAATTTTGTCAATTAATTTTGTAAGTTAATTTAACAATTAAAAATTACAGGAACACAATGGGTCGGTTATGAAAATGTGGAAAGCGTAAAGTATAAAATCGATTTCATCAAAGAGTCTAAATATGCTGGTGCCATGGTTTGGGCCATCGATATGGATGATTTTTATGGACTTTGCGGTGACCGCAATCCCTTGATGAATGTCATTTATCAGGGATTAAAAGAATATGTCGTACCAAATAAAGATTTCCACACTACCCCCACGGTAAAAAAATTTAATTTTACTAAAATTATAAAAATTTCAATTTAGTTATGAACTAAATTAACAATGGTTATAAACATAGTTCAACCAGTATCAAAACGTGAACCTATTTGTTAAAAATTCTAAACCAAATATTATTTAGTTAGATCATTTTATTTTTTTATTTAGCCTGATTGGGCAAAACCACCAAGCACCACGTCGTCAGGTAGTGTTCAAACTACTCCAACTACTCCACCTCAATCGCCTTCAACCAACAGACCTACGGAAAGACCTACAGAAAAACCTACTCAAAAACCAATAATAACTTCCTCAACTACAGAAGAAACAGATAAATCTGAACCTACTCAACCATCAATAGACGATAATGAAACAGAAAAAATCGATTGTGAAAATGGCAATACATTTGTTCCTTCTAAAGATTGCCATTCGGTAAGTGTTCATACTAAAAATTATAATTAAGAAAACTAGTCTAATAATTCGTAAATGCAATTTATACATTATATACATACAAAATTTAATACGTTATATTCATATATAATTCATGTTACAGTATTATGAATGTGTTCACGGAAAGCCAATGAAATTCAAGTGCCCCAACAATTTAACTTGGAACACACAAATCAATGTTTGCGATTGGCCGCAAAATGCTGATCGAGAAGAGTGTAAATCCCCGTGAAAGTTCTGCATTCCGAGCTTACACTCGTTAGAAAACAAAGGGACTGAAAAATTTCATCGCGATTTCTAAATATGAACAATTGATCACTATACCTCCTTTAAAAATGTTGTAATATATGGCAAACTGCAATTATTAATTATTTTATTCATTCACTTACTATAATAATATGTTATAAGTATTGCCAAATAACAAAAATTCAATAAACATCACATCATTCATAACAATATTTTTGTAATGTAGCAATTTAAAAATTGTTAAATTATGAATGTATATATATTAGTTCAAAATTATAATTTGTTGAATAATTTGTTATTTCAAAACCATAACTAATTTTAGCATTAATTTTATGAACAATTCAAAGCATTTCACTTATCGAAATAAGATTAAAATTAAACATTTTTAAGAATAAGGGTTAACAAATCCTTCGAATATTTAGTATCTGTGCATATCTTTGTAATATAAATAATTTCATAAAGCTTTTCTTTAACATCTTGGATAATAAATAGTTACAAATCGAAATAACTAAATGAAAAAGACTGATCGACTGTTACTTCATATAAAATTTATTCAGATTTAACTGATATATAAACAAAATAAATTTTATATTGGAGAGAAGTATGGACGAGAATTACACATGTGACCAAATATTTAATATGATAATTCATGATTAGCTTTATTAACTTTCTTATGTAGTGTTATTATATAAGTGACCACGTGTATAATGAATATGTATATCGTTACGCACGATACTCCAATAAATCCGAAATTTAAATTAAGATATGTAGTGTTTGCTTAATAGTGTAAGGGAGTGCAAAATCGTTTTATTGAGAAAAATTCTGGTAAAATGACAATTATTTAATATTCATTATTAAGATAATAATGAATATATAATTAAAAAGTGTATTAAGTGGGGGACGTTCCCCTTTAATAAACAGATTCTCATTGTGAAGGTCAAAATTGCTCTAAGCAATCTCTATGCCTATACGTGTAACGAGCAAACCTTAGTGTAATTGCTTCGTATCAAATATGGCGCAAATGATGATACCTAGGATTGCGCTTTTATCTATTAAAAATAATAATCGAGTAATACCTCGAATTTTTGTGCCGTTAAAATATAAACGATCATGTTTCCATACAAGCTGGGTTCTCGATGGTATGCAATTTATTCAGAAATACTTTCTTAACACACTTATTCGCGATGGAATTGAGGTTAACATTCAGTTACATATTTTAAATTATATTTATTCAAAATAACGTTAATTATCATGTCAATCGAAATGTTGAAGATAATAAAAGCAAATATTTCTTTTATTTTTCATTCACTTCAATTTGTAACCATGTGTTTGCAACATTGTTAAAATTGATTATGCAATCAAGTATCATGTTAATTTTGTTATATGACGTTTCCACTGTGTCATACAAGTTTTTATTTATTTTTAGTCAAGGGAAAGGAGGTTTTAATGCCTTCCTTGTCACCTACTATGGAAAGTGGTACTATTGTCAAATGGCTCAAAAAAGAAGGTGACAAAATCGATGCAGGAGATGCACTTGCTGATATTCAAACTGATAAAGCTATTGTTACTATGGAAATTGATGATGACAGTATTCTTGCAAAAATAATTGTAAGATATGAAAAACATTAAATAATCATAGTGAATATAAATAATATTTCTATCATGATATAATTTCTCTAATACAATTAACATTATATCTTTATATCTTACAAAATGTTTTTAATAATGATTTAATATAATGCTTTATCAGGTGCAAGAAGGAGTTAAAGATATCAAAGTAGGTACATTAATAGCACTTACTGTTGATGTAGATGAAGATTGGAAATCTGTGGAAATGCCCGATAATGTTTCAACTGTTTCTGCTGCTCCATCACCATCACCTTCTGCACCAACAGTGACACATTCTACAAGTGCACCAGCTCAACCACCTCCTGGCCAGTATGTATTTATTAAAGTAGTTTATAATATTATATTTGTCCATACTTCAAGTCCTTTATTTCATTAATAATGCATGTATTAAACTGTTTGATATTCAAAATATTGTTTCTTTCAGAATAAATGTTACTATGCCAGCATTATCACCAACAATGACTTCAGGAACAATAGTAAAATGGCTTAAAAAGGAAGGAGAAGAAATAGAACCAGGAGATGCACTGGCAGAAATCCAAACAGACAAAGCTGTTATGACTTTTGAAGTTGAAGATGAAGCCATATTTGCAAAAATTCTTGTATATAATTTTTATGGAATATTCATTTATCTTATTTCAAAAACTGAATGTTTATTCAAAGATTTATTTAACAGGTTCCTGAAGGAGGTCAAGTGGAAGTAGGACAATTAATTGCCATCACAGTAGAAAAAGGAATGGATTGGAAAAATGTTGTTGTTCCAACAACAACTGGACCACCTGCAGCTGCTTCTGCAGCTACTCCATCTGCAACAGCTGTATCAGATAAAATGCCTGCACCAAGTGGACAGTATGTATAAAAAATATAATAATTTTCCAGTATATCTAGCAAACACTATGTTATTTGTTATTCTATTTTTTTCTTAGAGTGTATGGTTTAGCAGTTAAACGTTTATTAGAAGAATATGGATTGAATGCAGAATCTATTAAAGGAACTGGCCGACCCAATCGATTGTTGAAGAGTGATGTTTTAACTTATATTCAAACAAATAATGTAAAAAGAGTTGCACCAAAAACAGGTATAAAAAAACAAACAGTTAAAATGTGTACACTGAAATATATTATCTTATTTAATTGAATAGCACCACCACCTCAAGTTGATAAAGGTAAAACAGAACCAAGTGTTGGTCCTTCAAAGGTACATGTACCCAGTGGTCGCCCCTCCGCTTATGAAGATATTCCAGTTTCTAACATACGCGGTGTTATTGCAAAAAGACTTGGAGAATCAAAAGTATAAATATAAATTTTTTTATACATTAATACTTAACAAAATTTGATATATATATATCTTATCAGTAACATTATAATAGAAGATACATTTCTAATCATACATTACATTTTAATTATATAAATCTTTCAGAGCACTATACCGCATTCTTATGCATTTGTCGATATTAAAATCAATAAACTAAATGAAATTCGTAATGAACTAAAAACTGACGGCATTAAAGTTTCGATAAACGATTTCGTTACGAAAGCAGCGGCACACGCATTAATCGAATGTCCATTTATCAATACGTTGTATCAAAATGGTCAAGTTAGTATATAATTTGGTACAATTGCCGAAATGTACTAATTAAATAATATTAACAAGTTTTATGTTTCATATTTTTTAACAGATAATTCGTATGCCAAGGGTTGATATTTCTGTCGCAGTTGCTACAGAAACAGGACTTATTACGCCAATCATTTTTGACACTGCAGCTAAAAGTGTAGCAGATATTTCAAATAATATTAAAGAATTAGCTGAGAAAGCTAGGAATGGTCGATTAAAACCAGAAGAATTCCAGGGAGGAACATTCACGTAAATACATGAATTTATGCAATTTATTGCAAGTTTATAAATGAAATATAAAATTCTAAATTGTATTTTACATATAATTTGTAATATTTTTCAGAATATCTAATTTAGGAATGTTTGGTATTAAGCAATTCAGTGCCATTATAAATCCTCCTCAAACAGCAATACTTGCAGTTGGAACTGGTCGAGAAGAATTGGGTAACAGCATTAAAAAATTTACATGTTTTTTTTTTTTGTATATAGTTATAGAAACAAATGCAGGAAATATTGATGAATTATTTTCTAGATGCTGCACTACAAAAAGTAATGAGAATGTCAACAACCTTATCATACGACAGACGAGCAATTGATGAAGAACAAGCTGCAGACTTTTTGGCTGTCTTAAGAGCTATGTTGGAAGATCCTACTTTCCTCGTCGCTGGTAAATTACGAGCGCTAAGGTACGCACAGGACTGACCTTTAATTAAATCTTGCAAGACTTAAAAGAAACCCTAAATGAAATCTTAAAAGATTTATTGAAAAATGATTTAGGTTTTAGGTTGTAGGTATATTTTAGTTTTCCGTACAACTGTAATTTTCTAAAAATAGGTCTGAAGGATTCATAATCTAATACAAATATATGTAATAAGTAATATATGAGATTTAAAACTATTCGAAAATTCGTAGTTAACTTTATTATAATTCGAAAATTATATTTACAAAATTTAATTCATACAGTTTAAAAAATTATGTAAGATGTTTTAAAACTTCAGATCTTAACCAAAAAAAAAAAAAAAAATGTTATTTATCTGCTCAAATACTGCCAAAGAAGTTTAGGGTGACAATTAATTCAATGGCCATATTCTCATTTCTAATATTTGCATAAAATGTTTTAGTGGAAATGTAAAAAACATTATGATTAAAGTAATAGATCAATATTATATATTTTATTATTATATTACGAATGAAATGTAAAAATTACAATTTTGTATGTTTATATGAATATTATTTGACATTACATGGTTTTTTTTTTTAATCACTCAATGTGTTCTACATTTCCCTAGAATTTTATGATTAATGAAATGTTTTTAATGTTTTTTTCAATATGTATTGAAAAATCTTGTGCAGTATATGTATATATAGTAATAGATTAATATGTAAAAAGGTGTAAAAAAATTTTAGAAAATGATATATAAAATGGTACAAATTGATCTTCCCATATTAAAACTATGGAATAATATAAATTCTTACGAATTTACATAAATTATTTACAAACAATATGTATCTTTGATACATATAATTTTCTTCCTTGTGAGTAAGTAGATAATTCTTACATTAACTGATTTATTTATATATTTATTTTAATAAAACAATGGCCACACTGTTGTAATTTCTTTCATGCAATAAAATGAATATACATAATTTTTTCTTATAATATAAATTATTTCATTTTATATGTATTAGAATAACAAAAATTTGTATACATAATGTATGTGTGTATATATATATAGAAAATTTTGTTTTTTTATATTAAAAATATTATGCATGATTAAAAACTTCAGTGTGGTTTAAGAAATTTATGGGACTAGTAAAATGTACAAGATTATAATTATAACTATATCTTGTAAATAAAATATTTATTGTTAAAACAGTGTGATGTTTCTTTATATATATTTAAAAATAATACATATACATTCAGTATTTAAAATAATTAAAAAGTTGGTAAATTATTTATACTACTATTACTTATCAATAGATAATTATATTTAGTTTTTTTATATTGTTTTATCACTGATAAAAGTATTTGTAAGGCAATTGGTATAGTACCATATGTATTGTTTGATAAGGCACAAATGTTACAGATGTCTAACTAATTTTACATTAATCTTTTTTAAACAAATGTTTGAATTGATCATTTTAACATAAATATAGTTAAATGTTAAATATATTTTTTATTTGGTTGTTAAATGCTTAAATAACTAAGATATTGGTTTTACACATACTGAATTGTTATATATGATTTTATATCAGTGTTTATCATTTACTTGAAATCTAATTAAATCATATTGAATGAACATGCAATATTTAATTACACAAGACAAAAATAATATGATAACATTAAATATAGAAATATGATATAACAGGACTCAGTGTTTATTATCACAGTTGTGATATTACTGCTCAGGTCTTAAACTAGATATAGATAATATTTAATCATATTGTGAATTCAAACATTTTTCTAAATACAATTTTATATACATTGTTTGTGGTACTCATATGATAAAATAGTACTTATTGAAATTTGGCATCTCATTTGGATAGGGTTAGGTTCTAAAATACAAATACAAAATTTCTCAAAAAGTAGTATATAAAATTTGGTAAAATCTTGTAAATCTAGTTGAGACTACAAAATCGTTAAAAAAAATGCATTTTACAATGTGTTGTATATCACATCAATTGCAATACTTGGTTATTAATACATGTGCCTATAACACTGAACCACAAGGTGCTTCTCACTACTACAATAAAATATTCCTCCAAGAAGAGGATTGTAGGAGCAGTCTTCCTTGTGTACTTAGATAATGATATATCAAATATTAAATAATATTTACTATAATACGGATTTTTTATATAAAATGTTTGATTAAAAATGTATGGCATAATTTGATTGACTAAATTATACAATTGTAAATAAGAAAGGAATGCAATTACAAAAAATAATGAATAAAATATGAATAAAATATGAGTAAATGTATCAGATGAAATAATGCATGATGTACATTCAGAACATCAATTGGTAAAATTATTAGATTAATATTATAAATTTAATTTGTACTATAACTAAATTGGAATAATTATTTTCTACTGTGCTTCAATAGCTATAAGTATAAAATAAGTTGTTATTCTACCCCTGACAGATACTATGTGCACATACAGAGCACTTTCAGTTCTTAAATAAACTAAGTACAATATTTTATAAAAATGATATACAAGTTATACTTTGTTATACAATAAATGCAAACAATTCGAAAATAAAGTCTTAATTTAATACAAAATGCCAAACATATTTTTAGCACAATGACTGACTTGTATTTTTCCTGCACCTACTTTCTCTTAAAATTGGTGACAAATTGCACTCTTTCAATATCTCTCTCAACTTCTTACACAACAGATATTGCACATGAAATAATTATTAATAACTTATATCAATACTAACTTTTCCAATGACTCAAGCAATAGAAATTAATCTATTGCATATGATTTATTATAAAATTAATGTAATAAGTGAATAATTATTTCTTAAAAATTATTTTGTAGTAATTTCTCCATTACTATAACTTATATTATCTCTATTGCAAATTTGGTAACACATTGATATAGATACGGTAGATGTGCATGTATTATAAAATACATAAAATCACTGCATTAAATATATCTAAATTTTTTGTGCAGTATGTAGAATACTCCTTGCATTATATAAATGATATCAATGCAATGCTATACACATACTCAAAAAGCTAACTCTATGTATAACAAAACAAAAATACATGTTCGATTTCTATTTAAAAGAAATTATTTAGTGGAACATTTTATGAAGTATTCTTTGCGCGGTTCTTATCAATGGTATCAGACTTGTTAACTCAGCACAGTTTTCTAAGAATGGGTGAGATAATAACTCATCTGCAGTTGCTCGTTCATCAACTTCAACTGCCAAACATCTTTCTAGAAAGTTTTGAAATGTTGGACTTAATGTATCCCATCTCGGAATAGAAGGCTTACCAATAGCAGCAATTAAATATAAGGCTCTTAAAGGTGTTTCTTTCATATAAGGTGGCTCGCCTTCTATCATTTCAATAGCCATAATACCTAAAGACCAAATGTCCACTTTTTTACCATATTGCTTTCTAGTCACTACTTCTGGTGCCATCCAATATGGAGTACCAACCATAGTTTGGCGTTTCTCATCACCATCGATATTAGCACAAAAACCAAAGTCTGTAACTTTCACAGCACCATTCATTCCAAGAAGTACATTATCAGATTTGATATCTCTATGAATAATTCCTCTTGTATGTAAAAAGCTAATTGCCTTTAAAACTTCTCTACAAACTGCTGCTATTTGTATTTCTTTCATTATGGTTTCAGTAACAACATCTGTAAGTGGCCCACCTTCTAATAATTCCATAACAACCCACAAATGTTCATTTAAAAGATATACATCCAAAAAATTAACTAGATTTGGATGCTGAAATTCTTTGAGAACTTTAATTTCAGTCAATATAAGTTCTTTTTTTGGCTGTTTTGATAAATCTATATCTTTTATAGCAACTCTTTGATCAGTATGTATATCAGTGGCTATAAATACAGTACCTGAAGCACCAGCCCCAACCTCTTTAGTTTTTTCAAAACGAAGATTTGGATCTCCACTATGACAAATAGCTCGAAGTTCTTCAAAAATCTCTTCATCATTAAGCTTTATTGCTGAACATTCTGTTTTCCTCCGTAAAATGGGACTTTCCTCTATTTTATTTTGTCCACTCTCATTTTCAAGCAATTGATCATCTTCAATCTGATATGTATTTAAATCTTCAAGAATTTCAGTAAGAGTTTTTTCCACTCTATCAGGGCATATTCGTGGTGTTGGTTTTGGAATCTTGTTCACTTTTGGAGGAAGTTCTGGTAACTTCTGTACTTGGCTATCTGTAGAACTTGCAGAACTTGATCCATCAGAATCTTCAGATTGAAATTTCTTCGATAAGATTTTATCAATTTCTTCAGATTCTTCTTCGATTAGGTCTTCCGTAACAAAAGGTTTAAATACTTTTTCTTCTGGTTTTCGTTTAATCGAATAATTATAAAATTTGATTGCTTGTAAAGCTGCAGCAGGATGCTCGTTCTGTTCTGATTTCGATATTTGTGTATTGAGCAGACGAATCCAAGATTCAGGAAGACCTTCCAACTGTCCTGTCACAGCATTTTTACTCACATGAAAGTTATGAGAAACTTGAGTAGGAAGACCAATTTTAGCGACTGTGTCAACCGAGCCGGTTTTTTTCCTTGAAAACAACTTTGTTATATTAAGACTCATTTTAGCGCGTAATTTCGCGCCTTTACCGCGTTCTCTTTTACGATGTATTGCGATCTTTTACAGAAGACAGAATTAGGAGAAGAAACGGCCACTTTTAAATCGCGATTTTCATCACAACATGACTCGTATGCTATCGACAGGACATCAAATACAATTAAAGGCGTGTTAGTGTGACTTACGTCATTTGGTAAATGGCGGTATAATTCAAAAAAGAGATATTTGAACAGTAATATATAAGATATAAAATTTTACTTTCGTATAATCATTTGAAATTACTTGTTCCTAATATCTGTATACGTTATAAGTTCGCATAAATTTAAATAAATTAGTTATTAATCCTTATATACACTGTTATAATATTATCTCATCTTATTTATCCTATTTCTGGTGATAAACGACATTTTTAGTTTAGAAAATATCATATGTATTTAAATGGGAAATTTAAATCAAATGTACAAATATACAGTTTGAATTTGATTAAAAATGCATTTTTATTAATAATTGCAAATAGTTAATACTCAAGTTTATTGAACAATTATCGGATAAAAGCAAAATATTTCAATGTTTTTCTCAATCCTATTTTAAAGAAAAAACTAATAAAATTATTTTGTTACTGATGATACAGTTTTGCAGGATTTTCGAGACGACAGAATTAAATTTACCTGATACCTTTTATTCAAAAAGTTTCTAAGTAAATTTGAAAGGTCTATGTGTATAATTTTTTTTTTATTAAAATAAATAATATATTTATAAATAATCTAGAGCCTTATCAGTTTTATTTATTTTACTAGAATAGGATATTTTCATTATTCTCCTTTCTCGTATATGCTACTACTAATTTCAATACTTTTAAATAATTGCTTATGCGTATTATTGACGTATTATTTCTTAATTTCCTCCTATTGATATTTCCCTTTCATCTGTTTTTTTTTCTATGTTTTTATCTTATCTATTTTATCTATTGTATACTAACATATTTCAAATTTCACTCAATAACGAGTAGACTGTATCATAAATTAGCCTGTTGACCCCACTCGGTCAACTTCAACGTGTGATTCTTAGTTTAAAAACTTGTCACCAATTAACCAATAGTTTTACACTCATACAGCTATTAGCCACTCACAGTTTTCTTATTCCACGTCTTTAAGACTGACCACTCACCGTTTTGAACGTTCAGCCAATCATATTATACTGGCACTACAGAGTCTTTATATAAGAACACCATTTAATAATTTCAAACAGATGTTTATTTACCATTTTGTTACATTTCACTGTATATATTAAATCAGTTATTATCGATTATGATGTCAGTTTTTTCTTCATCATTCTCAATTTGATTGTATTACATTTATTTTTAGCATAGATAACGCATATATTCTAAATATTGGACGAGCATACAACTCGCCAACGATACCTGACATTTCTGATCTTCCGAT